ATGAAGCAAAGGAAAACGATGCCAAAAAATTTACAAACTTTCAGCATAACTGTGTTCTTGCTAAGGCTACATGGATGAGAAGGGGGGTGTCAGTGCTTCCAGGACAGATTACATTCTTGCCTTTTACCTTTAAAAAAATTGTTCCTTTAAAAAAAGTAAGTTGGTACTTTTAAAAAAATAAGAGTCAAAGTACAGTACTTACATTGACCCATGGATAAGTCGACTCAGATTTTTTTGGGTCAATTTTTTGGCTAAAATTATTAGAATTATACATAAGTATATACAGTAGTTAAAATTGAATTTACTTTTTAAATTTTATTTTTTGTTACAAATGGAGATATAATATCATTAACTGTAAGAAACCTCTTTGGTTTTGCTAGTTTAAGAGCAACCTCCCCCCCCCCAAAAAAAATAAGATTACTAAAACAAAGGAAATATATCTGTTCTAGTCCTCCATAGCACAAAGCATACATAAGCCAGAATCCTGTTGGTTACTCAAATTGTTACTCCCAATTGCAGTAGACCAAATGACTCTATTGTTGAATGGTGAATCAACTCTTATGTTAATACAACGCTTTAATAGGTCTACTTTAATTGGGAGTAATAATAAGATTGAGGCTATTAAGAGCTCTATTCCCAGGGGAAAAAAAACTGAAAAGGAAAGCAAGAGCAAGAATGAGGTAGTGTGAGATACTGAATTCAGGGCCTTTGCAGACTGCCAGAAATAGTGCAAATTGAGTCCACTTTAAGGGGTAGGGTTAGTGCTAGGGAATCATGGGAATTGGTTTTTTTCTGAGACATTGAGCTTTCTCTGTCAGAGAGCTCTGGTGCCACAATAAAATACAGTTCCCATGATTCCCTAACCCTTAAAGTGGACTCAATTTGCACTATTTCTAGCAGTCTGCAAAGGCCCATAGTCTACCTGCTACATACTTTTTAGAAATAATGTGAGGTAAGTAAATATAGGAATATCTTGTGAATATTCGTCCTTCCAAAAAATATCCATGATCTACCTCTTTTCATTTTTTTTTCCAGGTAAAGAAGGCTTTAGAAAAAAAAATGGGTCTGCACATGTCAAACTGGGTGCATCTGTAACCTTACTAGTTGGTGTACCTTCAGTCTAAAATTAGAAAGTTGTGGATTCACTGCACTGGTAAGTCTATAAAATAAAAATTCAGGTGTATGCAAACTGAAAAGCAAAAGATTCAGGAATGATATATCCAACACAATTACGTGTAGCAACTGACGTGTTCCAACCAGTGTTTTTACCAGAAAGCTATTAAAAACCAGTTAAAGCAGTTAGGTCAGATGGGACAAACGTTAAAGACTTGTGTTTACTAGTCTGAAACACCATAATTTGGTTTCCATGTTAACTCATTAAAGTTACTTAAATATAGCCAGGCCTTTAGATATGTAGCAGAATATTTGATTTCTGTTAATCAGCTCTATATGGTTTTACCAAATAGATTTAAATACAAACAGTGGAAAATGGTTAAAATAAAATACAAGAACCCCCCCCCCCAAAAAAATCTAGAAACATACATCCTGAATTTGTTAAGGGGCACATCTGTTCTCCATTATATGCTATTTCTTGGCTAGGGCCAACTGGTTTTTGGCCAATCAAAGGTATCTGAAATTAGTTTTCAACACTCCAAATCATTCTTATTTTGATACTCATAAGTGGGTACAAAACTGCTTTAAAAAAAGATCACAAACAAACTCATTTTCATCTCTTAGATGTGTCTCTTCAGAACAAGGTCGCACTAATTTCCATTTGGCTTGAGTGTGAGTGTGTACAAGATTGCAGCCTGGAATGCTATCTGTCAATCTGAAAATTAAGCTTCAAAATTTAATGTTTTTGAGCCTGGAAGACAAAAACATGCAGTACAAAAAGATCTTCACAGCACTACCCAAAATAAATCTCTTCCTAACTTGAATCCCTTTTTTTAAATAACATTATTATAAACATTAAAACATCCAAACCATTCAATTTAACATACAATACATGCTGACACCTACAAATAACAAGCACATCTTTCACTCAAACTAACGTATAACCTATAATACATCTGTTGATATGAGTTAATAGATTTATAAATTATAAAAGTAAACAAACAGTATCCATATAGTCTTCATAATAATGATCTTCCAATTCAGATTAAGTCACATCACTCGAATGCTGTATGTACATAAGTCTCTCTGAGATGCACACCTAAACATGGTAAGGAGATATGAGTGAGGTAGAGAATGATTTCATTACAGCTCATAGTAAGTCACGAAATGCTCAAAGTGGAAACATCAGACTAAGATGTATCCATTCTCTTCAGAGAGTAACATCTGCATCAGCAGAAGAGAATTGAGAGTTCAATGGTTGAGGGCAAAGGAGAAGCTTCAGAATAGAAGCTACTGGGCACAGCAGTAATGGAAGGTGACACTGGCAGAGGACCCTATGGAGACAATAGAAGTGGCACTTTTACTATCTCATGTTTATACTGCAAAGAAGGCATCATTGGTAAACCACTTCTAGATGTCTTTTACCATAAAAATCCTATGATATGACAATCCAAAATGAAACCAAGGGGCAGTGCTGGAAGGTAAGACCCCTTAGATGGAAAGGAACTCAACCAGCTACAGAGAAGAATTAGGAAAAATACAGAAAGTACTGTGTCTAATTTTGAAAAGAGGTAGATGAAAGGGCCTCCCTCCATTCCAACTGCCACCGCTCTCAACTTGGAGGGAAAGAAGAACTGGCAGTATCTGCTGGATTTGATCCCCATTCCCACTGCCATTCCTTTGTCCTTGTGTCTCATGTCCTTTTAGAATGTAAACCCAAGGGCAAGGAATTGTCAAATTCACAATTTGTAAGATCGTCAAAATTTGTAAGCCTCTCTGAGAGTATTTCTGAAGAGCAGGCTTTAAATACAATAGATGATGATGATGATGTAACTGGACTTAACTGGATGCAAATTCAAAACTAGGAGTGAATTGTTGCACTGACAATGAAAACTGGTAATATATATATATATATATATATATATATATATATATATATATATATCAGAATAGAGCTAAAGTAGTATATTAAATCAATTTTAGTGACAAAACACAATCTACAGATTATTTAGTTTAAAGACCAGATAAAGAACAAATTTGTCCTGCTAAATCCAGTCAACCTTGACCCCAAAAAACTACAGACCAATACCATGAATATTATGTTGCCAAAATCAAGGAAAACCTTCTCTAGATGGCTGATGAAACTTTCAAACAATTAAAGACAACTGAGAAGCAAAAAGGTGATAAACATTGGATCAGAATCCTGAACGTGTGACGTGTGCTCAGTGATGTGTAAATATGGAGAAAGGGAACTATTACAATAATGAATGCAAAGAAAAAGCAGATAGACAAAAAAGCAAGAGACAACTTTCACAAGATCCAAGAAATCAAAGAGAAATTTAAACCAAAAGTAGTGATGCTATATAACTAATAGAGTAACAAAGTATACGATGAGAAAAATAAAGATTATGGAAGCAATACGTTGATGAATTGTAAGAGATGAAATAGTGACAGATTCCTACCAAGAAGAATATTTTCACAAATAACCTATAATTTCAGAAAGTGATGTGGATGCTACTCTCAAACCACTTGAGAGAAATAAATCACTGGGAACACCAGGTATACTAATTAAGCCATTTCAAGCTATACAGACAATTCCAATTCTAACAAAATTCTGCCCATAAATAAGAAAATAATGGACTATAAATGTATGATGGGGTCATCATACATTTCAGCCCCCAAGAAAGGGGACACTGGAGACTGCAGTAACCACTGGACCATAGCATTAGTGTCTCATGGAAGCAAAATTATGCTCTAGGTTCTACAACAAAAGACCTTCAAGCTGGGTCCAGGAAAGGAAGAAGTACTAGAGATCATAATGCAAACATATGTTTGCTAATGCAATAAACAATGTTAGAAGTCAGCCTCTGATTTAATACTACAGCAAAGCATTTGACTGTGCAGGTAATAAAAAACAACAAACCTGTGGATCACTCCAAAGGAAACTGGAGTATCAAAATATCTGATTGTCATTTTCTCTCTTTCCCTTCCTTCACTGCCATTGTGGCTCACTGCTGAGGCTTGACTGTGTTATCACATAAGACAGTCAGGATCAAACAGAAATAAAACTGCGCCACCCCACAACAGAGCCTTATGAAATCTGGCAATTACATTCGGTTCATATCCAAAAAGAAACACTTGAGAGAACCAAGCTGGACTAGTAAAGAGAAACAGTTCCAAGTCAATTGAGAAGACTATCCTGCATCAAGCTGTAGAGCACTAGAATTGCCTCTTCCTACTCATCTGCTAGAGCTCTGTTTTTCAGGGTTGAATCTTGTTGTTTATTGTACTCTTTTTCCTATGTCACAGGTCCTCAAATGTTGAGGACCTCTGAGTTAAACATTCCAGAAGTTGTTGTTGTATGCCTTCAAGTCATGACAACCCTAAGACAACCCTAAGGCAAACCTGGGTTCTTCTAGGAAAGTTGTGTTCAGAAGACGGTTGCCTTTGCCTTGCTCTGTATTTTATTGTGGCACCAGAGCTCTCTGACAGAGAAGGCTCAATGTCTCAGAAAAAAACAACAATTCCCATGAGTCCCTAGCACTTACCCTAACCCAGCGGTTCTCAAATAGTGGGGCGGGCCCTCCAGGGGGGACGCGAGGCTCCGTAAAGGGGGGGCCCATTACGGCTGGAGAGAGGGAGATTGTCCCAGCGCAGCCCCAGTAGCAGCCTGATGTGCTCTATCCTGATTGGTCAAACCCACCCATGTGACTATTTACAGTCGCGCGGGGGCGCACAAAATGTTTTCTTCTTTCCTAGGGGGGGCGTGACAGAAAATAATGGAGAAGCACTGCCCTAACCCTAAAAGTGGACTCAATTTGCACTATTTCTGGCAGTCTGCAACCCCCCAGAGTGTGATTTGCCCAAGATCACACAGTAGGTTTCCATGGCTGAGCAGGGATTCAAACCCTGGTCTCTTGAGTCATAGTCTAATGTTCAAACCATTACACTATACTGGCACTGTATTTCCAGACGGATAGAGAAGACCACAGCATTATAAATGACAGAAATAAAAATAAGTGGGCACATGGCACAGACTGTTCTGCCCTCTGCCCATCATATGTAAAGATATTTTTTTAATTGCCAGGACTTCTCTGTATATTTACTTCCACAGAATAAAAGGTATCTGATATGTTAAAATGTTTGTCTGAAAGTTTTTTTGAAGTGCAAGACTAATGGTAATTAGCATTCTTTAAGCCCATATGGCAATGTAGCTTCTTCTCATGATCTTTATAATTCATAGAAACCACAGTTCGTTTATTTTCAAAAGGAAAAAAAAGGGGGCAGATCTGTTTTTCTGCAAGTAGCTCAACAGTGAGGTGTAGTATCATAGCTTAAAGGTTCCACAGTAATATATATATATATATATATATATATATATATATATATATATATATATATATATATATATATATATTTCTGAAGGCTATTAAAGAACTAATTCTAGGTAGAATAGTGTTGTTTTAGAACTTTTCTAGAGTTCTATAGAGCTACACTCCTAAGTATACAGAGAAAATCTTAAAATGATAAAAATTGAATAAATTATACATAATATCCTATAATTTACATCTGATGTAGGAAACCCCCCCCCCCCAGTCTTGACAGCTTGGAATACCCAAAGAATTCAGGAATTCCCCCCAAATTAAAACGATCAAGCAAAGCATGTTTCCATAGTTTATGGCATTATACCAGGTACCTTCACAACAGAAGACAGCCTCTTCTCCCATTCACAATATTATTTTCTAGATCAGATCAACTGCATTGATGATATTTATGTAAGTGTAGACTTATCAGATTACATTGATTCCATGCATCTACCCCAAATTGGGTTCAACAAGTGGGCTTAGGCCTTTGTTTTTAACAAGTTATATTTATATTACACTGGTATATGTAGCACATTTCTTGAGGAATGCATTATAACTAGATAATTAGTGACAACCAGCTCTTACAGCTAAACTGCAAATATTATAACAAAATAACCTGCAAAACAAAAAGTAGAAAACAAAATCTTGTTGCATTTCTTTTTTCACTTGAAATACTTTTGTACTCAAGGAAAACAAAAAGATACTCATCACTTATAGCCAAAATCCTATTGTGTTGTCTTCATCTCTGTTTGATAGGAAACAAGAGCATACTCTCCAATTTCCTGCTATAATAATACAGTACCACCAAATGAAGAACATAGTTCTCCCTTTATATATTAATTCCTGATAAATTAAATTCTTCTTCATAGAATTCATTTTACTATGAGTTAGCATGTAAAAGGATATGTAACCCGAATCCTGCCTGACTAGCTTAGAACAGCTGGTTGGCTTAACATACAAATGAAAAGGCCAAGGTTACAAGGATATTCCTATTCTATGGACACTGTTATTAACTGTCCATAATGAGGAATTTGCTCTAATTCCTAAGTGCCAGCATCAAATTCCCTGGGTATTAGGGACTTCCAAACCTCTTCACTAAAACAACTATATGTGCAGACAAATGCCGTAATTATAAAGAAATCTAACCTGTTCAGTACAAAGGGTGCACAAGTATTACTACTGAGCATGGCATACTAAAGAGCTGCAGTTGTTTGCAGAGACCTCCTGTGACAGCATCTTAAGTTCACTACCAGGTTTACATATAATATCTAAGACTTGACCCTCGTGAAAGCTTACTTGCAGGCCAGAGGAAAGGAGGCAGTTTTTCAAGCTCTAATGGATTTGATGAAGCTCATTAGCTTCATACACATGGCATTTGTACAACCATTTCATTGTAGTAATTTAGGCAGATGGTGACAGTAGTAGTAATATGGATTCATTGGCAGACTTCTCCCTGCTATCCAAGGAAAAAGTGAGACATACACCTTTTAAAAACTGATTAACTTACAGGAAGCTCTCATTTATTTGATGGGTTAGGGACTGGAAGATTGTCAGAAAATGGATTAGAATTAAAGTTGCTCCTCTGCTTTCTCAGGGGATCCATTCCGGACCCCTTTGCAAAAATGGAAACCTGTGCATATTCAAGCCCCATGGGCATAAATGGAGTGTGGGTGCGCTCCCATTGTATGCCCCTACGTTTGTCCCTCGCAGGGACTCAATCTGAAGTCCATGAAAACTGAGGGGTGACTGTACTTGAAAAGTGGAACCCAGGAGTTTTCATCTTGCAAGTGCATTTTGGCTAATAAAAATGTATATGAATGTGTGCAAAAGTTGAATTAACAATCTCTATATACAAAAGTGCATGCGAGTGGTCCCAAGCAACCCTCATAGGCAAGAAGAAGTAACAAGAGTGAAACCCCTGTCAAATTAATTGAACTTATCTGTAATTTGTAAGCATTGAAAGAGTGAGTCATGGAGTCATCAAAAGGCAGGGATGCCTGTATTTGACTTCAACTCAAAGTCAAACAAAGGCAATGGAAGTAGATTAGCCTGAGATACACTGTGATCTACATTCCCTCATCTCTATTCAGAATACAGCCCAGGTAAGTTTCCTCTATCTCACAAACAGGGCCTAAATATTCTATAAAGGCAGCAGATCCCATCTTGGATGGGAGACTGCCAACAAATACCAAGTGCTGCATGCTATATTTCAGAGGAAGAAACTGGTAAAATCACTTATGAGCATTCCTTGCCAAAGAAAACCCTATGAAATTCACGGGGTTGCCATAATTCAACAGGCAAATTGAAGGCACACACAGACACATACATATACGTATACAACAAACACAACCACCATCAACTTGATCCAAGCACATGCAACGTGTTATTTCTTAGTCTAAATTCTATAACTATTTATAGGTCCTCTGCAGAAAAATAGCTGTAAAGCTAAGCCTGAGAAATAGCAAATCATCACTTGTGAAATGGTGCAGATTTATGTAGCATCCATTCTCATCCCAGTAATGAAAGACAGAAAGGACATTTGATGTCATCACATCACATCACTTGTTTCAGTTTAAACCATATTAAAACTTGTTTAACATAGCCCCTCTGCCTAATATTGCTTGCCTAAATACTTAGTACTATACTCTCACCAATTAAATAGATAAGAACATTTTACTGCCCATGATTCTTCCAATATGCCAAGTAATCTGTTATCTAAACTGATGTCTCAAAGCAGGTGGAAAATTTTGCATGAGTCAGGGCTTAGAAAACCAAGGCCAAGGCTGAACCTTCCATGCAACACCTCCAGTAACACCATGCAAGATTCCTAAGCATTTCTTGCCACTGAAGGCACCTGGACATGTAGCACATGCACAAGCACCAAGACAAGTAGCACTGCTGTCTCATCAAAAACAGACTATACTGTCTTTTAGATTGCCAGATTTTCAAACCAGCAAAGAGCTCAATCTATTATGGATTAAGATCCACCTCCAGCCACAGAACAATGATGTGTGTGTGTGAAAATGATAATCAACCAATAGTGACACTACAATTAATTTAGTAATTTTATTAAAAGATTGTGTTGTCTGTATAGACACTAAAAATTCAAGACCTTATCATGATTTCCAAAAAAATTCCTAAGTGCTAATCTTATTCAAAATATTCTATTATATGCATTGGTAGTTACCATGGTTAAGCAGTGTGCCTTTCTTTTCCAATTATGGATTCTCTAGAGTCAACAATCACAGCAATACAGTCTTTGGGTTAGATATTAATTACTTAAAACTAACAAAAATTCTTCAAACTAGTATGTAGTTTCAATATGAGATGCTTTCAGTGTAAAAATAGACATCTTGAATATCTGAAAGTCATTCTAAGAGGGGATTTTCCCCCAATGTTCTCAATAAAATAATGTGAACACACTTTATCATGTCAAGCACAGAAACTTTATCCACCCAGGAAATAAAACCTGCCCTTTTTCTCCTACAGCCAAAAGCTTGAGTAGCTATGACAAAATTTGGATTAGGGTTATAGACAAAACAAGACATTAGATTGAAAAAACAAATTTCTGTTTTTCTGCATATTTGAAAAAAGATTCTATTGCAAGAATTAAAAGGACAATCATAACTGTGATAGTTTTACAACCATATTCACTATGCCATGACAAGATGTCACATGAGCCAGTACAGCAAAGCTGTTACTTCATAATGCTGTCACCGACAGCATTACATAATCTTAAATCTAACAACCAAAGCTGAAAGAGAGAGGGGGGGGAGGGAGGGAAGAGTGGTCATGGCAAGGGAGGTACTGCCACCTTTTTTACATGTCTAGTTTTAAGACATACAAACAAGTGATGCCAGGTCAAAGAAGATAACATTTCAAACTGGGACCACTAAACATCCTATCTCCCTGAGTAGGTATGTCCCCCAACTCACAGCCAAAGCCCATCTCTTATACCTCAGCCCCAAATATACAAAATTCTACTGACAACTCCCGAACTCCTGCTTCTATACTCTCCTCCAAAGAGAGGATTCATTGTAAGAAAGGAGTGCTTTTGGGCCTAATTTCAGGTAAGCTTCACCATGTACTGGGAAAGAGAAAAGAAGACTTTTATTTGTTGGTGAACACAACTCCACAATACTGCTGTTATTACTGGCCAGGCACAGAGCATGTATACTTCTTTACAGGGTTAGAAGTAGAGCACATAACAGAAAGATAAAAGAAGAGTGAGACTAGATTTGAATAAATCTTGCTGTTAGTGTTTTCTCTACAACAATTGATTACCTAAATGCAGAGACCAGGAAAGCATGCTGAACAGAAAAAAGCAACCCTGAAGACAGAAAGACTATCTCAGTCAATAAATCTCAATAAGTATGCGAAGGGATTTTGAAGTACCGTTTTAGACTAACTGAAAGAAAAAAAACTGGTATCATGAACTGTCTACATCCTCAGTAGTCTCAAAGGTATTACAGGATTCCTTTCCATACTGATTTTTCAGACTAACACAGCTATGTCTTTGAATTCTAGTAAATCCTAGTGATCAGCAAGATCAGCAGTAAATGCCTGGTACCGTACTTGCAACTGTACACCATTTA